CGATGATTGGTTTAACCATCGTTCAAATTTATGATGACACTTAAAAAAATCATGACAGGTCCTCACACGACCATTGCAGTGTCCCTACAGGCACGTGACCAAATTTGGGCATTTGGCAACCAGGATGTGTTTATGACCATTGCAGAATTCCAGGGTCATGTGATCGCAATTTACAACATTCCCAAATAGCTTCCAACAAGCAAAGTGAATGTGGGAAGCTGGATTTGCTTAATTACTGTGTAATTCACTTAACAATCATGTTGATTTACTTCACCAAAAAGGATAGTAAACTCAAGATATGACTCACTTAATGGCTGCATCGCATTGATCAAAATGCAGTGGTCATAAGTTGCAGATTGCCTGTCTTTACATATTGTGCAAGTGCTGAATTTGGGCAACATGTAAACTAAAATGTGATTTGTTTTATCAAAATTGGGTAATAATAATATCATCAAAACATAGTCTCCAGAAATGTTGCTACTTAGTTTTTGAGGACTGTATATCATTTTGGAATTTTGTGACATATTTGTAATACTTCTGAAAGTTATTTATATGGTTTTTTCTTGTTTTATTCAATAATAAAATGGTGTGTTCCTTGCCTTTGCAAACACTCAAAGACCATCAAGCTTGTGTTCCAACCCTGAAGAATTTTAATAATTTAGTTTATCCACCCAGTTAAAAGTTTAAAATATTTATTTGTGTTAAAGTGTGTTTCAATCTGAAAATAAGATCAAAGATTAGAGAAGAATGTACTCATACACTCTAATGTCATTTTTTACTTTGTGGATTCTGTTCCATAGTTTGCCAGAACATCTAAACATGGTAAACTATTATGTAATATTAAAGCAAAAGAATATTAGAGATGACCAATACCGTAGGTTCATTAACACAGATAAAATGGCAGGTATAGACGCAATCCCTGTCCAGTTTCACATTTGATGCTAATCCTAATGTGGCTTGTTTGTTTTGGCTTTTCATGCTCTGAAAACAAAAGTGAATGAAGTGTGGTTCACTTCAGAGAAGTGAACATCAGCAATAGCAATAGCAGTTAGACTTATATACCGCTTCATAGGGCTTTCAGCTCTCTCTAAGCGGTTTACAGAGTCAGCATATCGCCCCCACAG